CTTCTTTTTCTGTGTCTGCTTCTGTCTTCTTGAAGCCCAATCAGCCTCAGCAGATGGCCGCTCACACTGAGCCTGGTTCTGCTGGAGGTTTCTTCCTGTTAAAAGGGAGTTTTTCCTCTCCACTTTCGCTACAAGCATGCTTAGTGTGAGGGATTGTATTTGAGTCAATGAGTTGATGCAATCTACTGGTTTTCCTTAGATAGAAAACTTTGAATCAATTTGAATGTATGATTTGGTGAACTGGAAAGTGCCTTGTGATGACTTGTGTTGTGAATTGGCGCTATAGAAATAAACTGAATTGAATAATTTATTTATGAAGTTGTACATAACACTGCATCCAAAAACCTACATGTGTTTTTCTAATTAAGGTACAGTAAAAAGCTAATTTATCTATTATGGACTTGTACCTAACATTGCATTTTTCTTATATAGGTGGTGAAGCTCCTGAACAATAAGCGCTCACAGGCTGTTGGGATCCTTATGTCTTCATTGCACCTCGACATGAAAGATATCCAGCATGGTGAGTCCAGTAACTGAAAAAACTACCCAGCTGTCTTAACTGTTTTTATTACTGGTGTGGTAAACAGGAAAGCCACCTTCCCTATTTATTCTTTTTTTTTTTTACCACTTAAGCAGTTTCGCTTCCAGAAATGTTTCATGGGGGGGCCAGATGGGGCTACTAAAAATCTTGGGCTGGCCACTGAAACTAAAAGCCATAATTTCAGGGTTTGAATCTATTTTAGTGGTAAACCTGCCTGTAGAAAACACCTACTCATATTTTGATTTATTGTGTGATTTTTTTATGTTACGTCGCTGGCTGTGCATAATGTGGTGAAATGCAAAACTATTGCTACTACATTTTACACTGGTAAGTGGGGTGGCCAGTGGGGTGGTCAGGGCATTGCACAGGGTGGCGGTGGCCAATCCTAGCCACCTCCTAGTATGGCATCTGCTCTAAAGAAGGAATTACTGCGTGGATAACAAAATAAAAAACACATCCATCTCAAAATGTTCCAAGCAGAGCTACGTGCCGATTTACCAGAACCTTGCGGTCTACGCATGTTCAAACAAGGGAATTCTTCTTCAGGGTTTTTTTTTTTAAATTTGACTCCACCCTTTCACTGAATTACAGGGTCTGACCAGGAGATGACGCTTCTCTTTAGATCATATTGTTCACAAATCATGACAGAAAGAATATTTTAGTACAAAGATTGATGTTTAAAAAGGAATTGTGGGGGACCAGCCAGGGGCCCATCAAGGAAAGTGGGGAAATTTTAAATGGCTATCACTTTACAGAACAGAGCCGATAAACAACCAGAGGGCCACAGTTTGATCCAACATCCAAATTTCAACGTTTTAAGCATTTCTGGCGCCCAAAAAGCTTTTGATGTGAATGCAGCATTAGCCTAGCCTCGTGAGACCATCCTGATCTCACGAGCTTTCAAGATTTCACTCGCTAATCAGTCTGGAGACTCTGTTGAAGAAAATTTGGAGCCGTTCACCAAACGAACGTCCAATCAGCGTTGGCTTTGAGGCGGGTTGAGGTGTGACGCAACGAGAAGCGCGACAGTTCAGTCTAAAGAACATGGCGGCTTCAGCCGATGAAACTAGCGTTAGCGTGGCTATCGAGCAAGTTTTATCGGAATTACAGAGTATTTCTTCACTGAAAGAAGAGCAAAACACTGCTCTGGAGGCTTTTCTCAGAGGAAAAGATGTTTTTGCTCTTCTCCCGACTGGTTTCAGTAAGAGTTTGATCTATCAATTGGCTCCTCTTCGTCATCGCTCTGTTAGTACGTCATATGCTTCGTTGATCTGATTGGTTTATTTGGCCCGTCTATCACCAACATAGGCCAATCAGCTAACCAGTATTTTCGCCCCTTCCCAAAATTACTTCAACGGAAGGTTTCCAGATGGATAAGAGGAGCAAATCCATCTGGCGGAGTCAGGTTAGCATTAGCCATGGATGGTTCTGATCTGTAAGCTGTGATGCTTCATTGTTCCTCAGCAGCATTACCTGAGATTGAACTCCCTGATTGTTCAGACCAACTCCAGACAAGATGTTCTGGAACAATCATAAACATTTCCATCCATCTCCCCTATAGCATGCTGTACTACCTCCAGCTGTCCTCTCCTTCTGACGTCACCACATGGAGATAGGTTTTCACTAGCTATAAATCAGGGTGCTGTTATGGAGCTACTGAATGTAGGATATTAATGTTAAAGTTAATCCTGTTTGGTTCCTAATAACCCAGAACCACCTGGTATGTCCTGCTGCAAGATTAGATGCAATCAATATTGCATCATCAACACTTGAATCTTGCTCCAAATGTTTTACCTGTGATTGCCCTCTGGTTTCTGCATCTTAATGTAATAAACGTCCAGCAACTGTTGAGGCTTCTTCTCACTATATTTCCATATTCAGTCTGTAACTCATAAGATACTGATGCTGTTACCTTTGAGTTTTTCTAGTGATCCAACTTTTCCATTACACCTTACCTCCTTTATCAGTCAGCCCAAAGGTTTAGCAGATCTTATATATTTTGTTTTTGTCTGTTGCACTTTTCTGTTTGTACATTTCTTTTCCCAAGAAATATTCTTGGAAGAATATGATGGAAGTAACATTCTCAGATGACTTTTTATAAGAAGTTGCTCTGATGAAAGTAATTTGTCCAAATGGTCACATTTTGGACAGACAATAAGTGGTGAGAGGAGCATGAAGGAAGCCATAGTGGACTCAGATTTCAGCCTTAAAAAACCTACAATACAGTGAAAAATTTGATTCCTTCCTGCTATCATCGTAGCCCCAACCACTTTCCAGGGGAACTGAAGACCTCACCTATTAAGCCCGGCCAACAATTCTCTTTAACGACCCCCTTTCAGAGACATACACAGGTATGGGGTATTGCAGGCTAACAAAGAAACCAAACGAACCCCATTCTAAAGGGTTGGACCCGTCCATTTCTATTTGCATTCTTTCTTTGTTGGGCTACTGTATAAAACCTGGAACTCAACCCTATTTCTGACATTTTTAATTAAAAAAGCTTCCTGAATGGGAAGAGAAACATCTTCAAACTTGAAAAAAAAAAGTCCAGTGGATTATTTTTAACTTTTTTGGAATCAAGAGGTGATGTTTAGTCTCAGCTGCCGTCCTACACACCCTAATAGGATTACTTCCTCAGTAGCGGGTCAGTTTCTCCAGAGTCCTCTTAATCATCTAATTAGTGATTTAGATCCATCTAAGAGTTGTAAGATACCGGCCCTTAGGATCTACAATTACCCCCCCCCGCTTTACAATCTGCACTAATTTTTCCTCTAAGCCTTTAACCATAGAGACAGTGAGCTTTCAGTGATATAACCACATCATTACTTCTTTGAAAGTATTCTTGATTGCTGCACGGTGAATTGTTATTACTCGTTATTACTCAGTCAAGATTCCATGTCTACCAAATATTTGGGGCGTGGTAATAAATGCTTTGCAGCGGTGTCCAATAGTAGAGAAACTTTGGGTAGTTTGAGTAATATATAATGACTATCATCTTTGCCTGAGAGGGCAGAATATCAGTTCCCTCTTTGCTCCATTGGTTGCCCTGTCTGCTGTGAACCATGACTGGTCCTCTTGACTGTTGATGCCTGTGTCATTGATCCATCTCACAGCGCTGATTCATTGTCTCTGTTCATTCAAGGCCAGTATAAAAACCCTCCTGCACTTTTCTACACCTAAATGTCTCCTGATGCACTGAGGTTGGCATTAAAACCATCCATCTCTGAGTTTCTCTTTAAAGCACTAATATGGATGGCTCAGTAGGAAACCTCCTGGCTGTATAATCTTTTCTCACTGCCTGCAGCTCTATGTCATTCCTTCGTTTCAATCAAATAATCAATATTTTTATTATAATAATAATTAAACTTTATTGATCTCACATTGCAGAAATGTACCTCTGCATTTAACCCATCCCCTTGGGGAGCAGTGGGCTGCCACTGTGGGGCACCCGGGGAGCAGTGCGAAAAATGTAGTTTCTCTTATTTTATATATTAATTTATGCTATTTACTCACTATAAAAGTTTTCAATGCCTGTTTCACCTGCAAGGCCACACAATTCACCTAAGTGAGGGTGTTTGTAGACCAGATATATTTTCTTTCCATAACAAACCAGATTCATTTTCAAGGTTTATTCATAACAAGTTAGTGTTTAACCAAAGTGTCTTTAATTTGTTTTGACTCTGACTACTTACCATTATTGTAAGTAAGGAGGAACGAACGCTGCTCATTAACGGTTAGAACAGGGCTGATTACCAAGCAATAAAGGCCATCTGATGAAATGTTCTCTCTTTGCAAAGATAAAAATAAAATGCTGACTGAGTGAAATCCAAAGATCTCCATTTATTTAACTGGAACAAATATTTGAATACTTTTTTTCCCCCACTACAGGGATTATGGGGATTTGCTCAGAGGCCCAGAGTGGCAGTCTGTGGGAGTGGATTTCAAACTCAGAACCTCAGGATTCCAACTTCTATGCCCTAACCACTAGGCCACCGCCCCCTCTGTAATATTTTGTTTGATTTCCTGACCAGGTTGAATGGAAGAAAGTCCCCATGTTGAGCCATTACAGCAATGTTGGAAAACTTAAGATTGAGGGAAGGACCATAAAGAGGAGCAGGTTGGGTCACGGATTGCGCTACTTGCCAGAAAGTTGATGGCTCCATGATAAACCAACTGCTTTTGAGAGAAATTGGAAATGTTCTCCATCTGGAAAAACTCATCTTTACCTCAACTAATCAAGACAGTTTATTATATAACCAATTCTTAGCTTGATGGATAAACTTCCGTCATATATACTATATCTGTTTATTGAGTGTATCGCTTCTACTGACCAATTTTATAAACATGATACTTCCAACCCATGTTCAGTAGAAAGAAAGACTGTTGTATTTATTTATTTTCATCAAAAATAAGGGAAGTTTTCTAAATAATTTTGAGTTAAAAGGTTCTTCAGGATGTTGGGAATGACCTGAACCTTTCTGTCTGTTTTTTTTTTAGCTATCTTAAACTTGGACAACAACGTAGTGGACATGGAGACCCTGCAGGCTCTTTATGAAAATGTGAGTCTCTGACAGTTTCTGTTAAACAGGAAGAAACATAAAAGTTTATTCTTATAATTGGTTTAAAGAATATGCCGTGCCGTCATCATCTTCTTTCTACTTTATATTGTCTTTGTCTTTTTTTGCCCGTAACATTTAGCTGTTCTTTATGTGTCTCATTTGGTGCAAAAACCTGATTTAGTAGCAGTTTTGCAAAGTGCTGAAATTTTTAACTGTTCTTCTTCGTACTATAAGTTTTAGATTTTTATTGGAAATTTCATGACTACAACTAGCCCAATTTAAGGCTATAGACATGCAACTAATACCTACTTTTAGATATTATAAAATCATATATTATATAAACCTTGTCTTCATAAACCTGGGCATGACTTTCAATTAGAGAAAGCCCTTAGAATGCCAGTCGGTTGGTAAATGTCGGAAAATAGCCAAAACATCTATCAAAAATAGATTATTTCACGTATATATATCTGTTACTTTAAACAGCAGTGAACAATGAAATAAAATAGAAAAAAAAAATAAAAAAAAATAAAAAAATACAATGTTTTTCCATTTTAAAATCTAAATTGTTTTTGAAGTAGAGAACAACAATCTCTCGGTTTGGTATATAGACCATTTCCTGACTCACTTTTTTAATAAAACTTGAACTAACCATTTTTTCGTTCTTTTTTCTGTCTTAATGTTGGCAGTGGGCTTTATGCTGCCCTGCAAGGCTTTAAACCTGGTTTGAATGGAGACTAAGCCATTCTCAAGCACATATCAAGGAGCTCATTTTGAGCCTGGATCCATATTTATATTTTTGTCTGTTCATGGTGGAGAATCCTGCTTCACAGCAGCAGGTTGAGCCAAACATCCTCTAAATGTTCAGGGTCATCTTTGAGCACCATTTCACTTTTCTTTCACCAGTTCACCGTAGTTCTTCCAGCAGTCCACTCTTCCTCTGCTCTCTTTTTCTCATCATCTTCTCCTTCTTTCCCATCGCCCGGCTTGCCACAGGTTTGCCTGCAGTGTCTAAAAGTAGCAGCAGCAGCAACCCAGACTGACAGCATATTGGCTAATTTGGATCACGTGCAGCCTGGAGATGCTGTAAATTATAAATGTTTTAAATCAGGTTGGGTCTGGATTAGCCAGCAGGTGGATCCAGATCCGGACCGCGGTCCACTGATCCGTGACCTCTGATATAGAGTAAAAGACATAAATTATTAACTTCAGCTACTAAATGCAACAAACCTCATAAGTAAAGAATGATTATTCAAAAGGTAAAAGGTTAAAACTGTAACATAGAAAATATTTCACACAGTTGACATGTTCAGCTCTTAGAATCAGAGTCAGTCAAGCACACGTTTGACAAGGCGGAGGTTTAACATCAGCGCTCCATGTCAGGTTTGGTGGAAGTTAGTTTTGGACCCAGAGTAGAAGGAGGCAAAGATACGTTTTTGCTGATTTAATGAAAATGCAAAAAAGACCACAGAAGAAAATCCAAGAATGAATACAGGAAACCAAAAACCAGGAGGGAAACTGAACAAAGACTACTAATCAGCTGACAAGGAGCAGGCGTGGATGGAAGCAAATCTAATAATGTTATGGTTCATCCCATTTGTTGTGACTCTGAGTTTTCAGTTTTCTGTTATCAGTAGTTCTGTTTTGTTCTTTGATTTATTTTCCATTATATTCAATCAGTCTTTAGTTACTCTCTGTTGCCCCCTTGTGCTTGTTTTCTTTCCCTTGGATTCCTTCTAGTTAGTTCCACCCACACCTGCTCCTTATTCAGCTCATTAGTCCATCCTTTGTTCTGTTCTCCTTAAATACTCCACCTCTGCAGTCACTCAGTGCTGGTTCCTTGTCGTTGAGGTTCTCTTCTCAGCTCGTCTCTCCCTGGCTCCTCATGCTCGTTTTCCTCTGATGTCTCCATGGTTTTTGGTTTGTTTAACATTTAAGTTGGATTTCTGGATTACTGCCTCTGTTGCCTGTGTTCTTCAATTAAATCTGTCAGAACTCATCTCTGCTTCAATTGTCTCTGCATCCGGGTCCTCAAGCAACCTCACTGCCCACTGTTGACAAATAAGATGAGAAGGTTTAGGTTCCACTCTTTTAAAGATACTAGTTTTAAATGTTCCATAAAAGGATTATTTCTCTCTGTCAGGGAAAAGAAGCCACTATTTTAAATCCTAAGGTTCGAATATATTTTCAAAGTTACCAGTTTAGTTAACAAACACATTTCATAATCCTTATATGTATTTTCAGTTGCAAAGCCACGTCCAGTAGATGTAATAGTCTATATCTAGTGTATTATTTAGGCATTGGCAAGTATCACTTTAAAGGAAGAAAATCACTAATTTCATATCCTTAATGAGTTCAACAAAAACTTGTTTTTCCATAGTTTGCTTGAAGTTGCATATCTGTGGCGATTTCTCATTGAATACCTGCGAGGCTAAACCTCCCCTGTAAATTTCACAAAATTTTTTGGTAAAATATGCATTGTGCAACCTCAAAAAAGTAGTCATGAAAGTTAAATTAAAATGCATTTGATTTCATGAATATGTTACACATTAATCAGCTGTTTAGTTTGCTCGATCTGCCCTCCGCTCTGGAGCAGCAGGACTCTGCCTCTATGAGAAATCCCTGTTGAGGTTTGAGTCTTACTCTACTGAGGTGTGCAGAGAGAAAGTAGAATCCTGATTGGATAACATGCCAAAATATGTCACTTCCAGTGAGGCTCAGCCTCTAAGCGCATCTATGGATCAGGGGCGGATCCTGAAGCTTGCTGGTCAATGTTGATACGGTGTCTCTTGGTCTTTCTCCCACTGGACAGGCTAATTCCCCCTGATTGGCCTTTCCGGGAACCTGCTCAGTCCCTTGGTTTAGATTGGCCATTCTAGTCTGTTTTGTATGAGGAATGTGTCTTCGTGTGTGTGTGTGTGTGTGTGTGTGTGTGTGTGTGTGTGTGTGTGTGTGTGTGTGTGGCTGCTGGGTGTTGGACTGGCTCCTTTGGGGTTTGTCCCCTTGTAGGTCCGGCTCTGGTCGCTCCGGTGCGGCCATCCATATGTCTGCCCTCCTTGTGTCTCAGTGATCTGGGGTGCTTCTGGATAACTGGGGGTTGCATTGCTTCATTTTCTATCTTAGGTCCTGTAGGGCGAGTCTTGGGCCGCCCACACCTGCTATTAGGCATAGTTTCCTTCTGAAGAAGCTTTGTAAACACAAGCATGCCCGTGCATACGTATCACGGGAGTTTGGTTCAAGTCGTTAACGAATACACACTGATTGTAAATATTAAGCTGCAGCTACAGATATATACCACCCTGAATAATACTATGTGTTCTCAATTGTAAATTTAAGAAGAAACAGGAACAAGTCAAAGGACTGATGGTTCAAGCCCTGTCTCCGGCTTTCATTGTTGTTGTGTCCTTTTGAATAAAATTTTTGAATTTAATTGACACAGTGGGTAGCACTGCTGCTTTGCAGAGTGAAGGTTGCGGGTTCGATTCCCAACCCGGGGTCTTTCTGCATGAAGTTTGCATGTTCTCTCTGAGCATCTGTGGGTTCTCTCTGGGTACTCTTGCTTCCTCCCACAGTCCAAAAACATGACTGTTAGGCTGCTCTAAATTCTCCTTAGGTGTGAGTGTGCGTTAATGGTTGTTTGTCTCTGCGATGGGCTGGCGACCTGTCCAGGGTGGACCCTGCCTCTTGCCTGTAGACAGCTGGGGATAGGCACCAGCAACCCTCGCCACCCCAGCTGGGATAAGTGTGATAGAAAATGGATCGATGAACTAAATTGAATTGAATAGAGCTTCTGTCTCCTTGAACCCCAGTCGGCCTCAGCAGATGGCTGCTCACACTGAGCCTGGTTCTGCTGGAGGTTTCTTCCTGTTGAAAGGGAGTTTTTCCTCTCCACTGTCGCTACAAGCATGCTTAGTGTGAGGGATTGTTTTCAAGTCAATGAATCGATTCAATCAATAGGTTTTCTTTAGATAGAAAACTTGGAATTAATCTGACTGGATGATAGAAATAAACTGAATTGAATGGCTTGTATTCTAGGGTTAGGGTTAGTTTATATGTTCTATTTTCTTGCATTAAATGAGTCATAACCTGGTATTTTATGCATTTAATCCATATGAAATTGATCATATCATGTTTAATCAATTTAGATGAAAGAAAGGAATAGAGCTCATTGGGATTGCGTTTTATATCCACTTTGTTTTTTTATTTTTGTATGAGTAAGCACAATAATTTGACTTGTTTGTATGTACATTCCTTTGGGTGTGGCATTATCAACATTAACAGTTAGCCATGATTTATTTACTATCATTTCCTTATACAATAGATAAAAAGTTACAAAAGCAGAAATAGTTACCATTTGCCTACTGGTGACTCCCTGACTGGTGAAATCGCTGCTTTAGGTAAATCAGAGACAGTAGAGGTGATAGAATGTAGTGTTGCGCTGATGCCATTTTTTGGCCCTGATACGATACCCGATACCTGGCTGTGCAGTATTGTCTCATACCGATACCATCTGTTTGAAATTGATGTGTGTGTGAACAACTGCATACTACTTGGATGTAAAATAATTGCCATCATGGTTTGTCAAGCTGCTGCCTACCTTTGTGAAGCAGGAAAAAGACTAATACAAAGTGAATCCAGTAGAACTTTTTATTGCCTACCTGGAATGGGTGACAATAGTTGAATAAACTTTTGGCTCTCAAAATGGTATCAGTGCCCTATTTGTTGGTACTTGCTGATACTGATTCCACCATTTTAGTGCTGGATAGGGGCCCCGCCTGATACTGGTATTGGTGCAACACTAACAGAAAGGTGAGCTAAGGTTAGTCCAGAGGTTTTAACAGGAAAAATGTCAGATGAATCCTTTAGTTGTATGAACCAGAACAATAATTATGAAGTTTGTTTTTTTTTTTTATTGCTTTTACAATCATTAGCTATTACATATTTTGAATAGGATCTTTGCCTTTTAATTTTCCCACAGAGGGCACAGCAAGAGGAACTGGATAAAATTGAAAAGCACATAAAGTCGTCTAAAGACAAAGAGAATGCTAAGCCACTGGATAAACCTGAACAGTGAGTAATTCCCCTAAAACATTAAATACCAGCCATAGATGTGTTTTTACTCCACTGTGTGTACTGCGCGTAAGGAAGCAGTGCTGCATCTTTACTTTGACGTACTACCATAACGTATTATATTATATCTTACATTATTGACAGATCTTCTTAAGGATTTCTTGTTTGTTTGGAACCATATCTGTCGTTTTGTCTTTATTTTTTTTAAAGACGGTATGTTGTCAAAGATGAAAAACTGTAACATCCTTTAAAAACAAGCCAAAAACCGCTTTTCAAATGCATATTTTCTTCATTTTTGTTTGTTTCAGGTTTCTCTACCAGCTATCGCTGATCCCAAACTTCTCAAGCAGAGTCTTCTGCATTCTCTTTCAGTCCAGCTTTTCTGAGTGCATGTCATCAATCACAAGAAAAATCAGCACCCTACAAAGGGTCTGCAAGGTAAGTAAATGAATTAATATGAGAATGACGTGTCTGGGCACTGTTATTTAAAAACTTTGAGTAAAAATTATCCAGGGGTGGTTAGGCACTAAATAATTATTTTTGCACATGCACATGTTGAGAATTAACAAAAAAATTTACATATGTCCTACTAGTGATCGGGAATCTGTATCGTCACCTGACATTGGAAGCTAAGTCCCTATAGTCTTAAGTCTCTTTCCCACTGAAATTAGCGGGTTAACCATGGTTTTTCAAACACGGGTCGACCCGCAATGGCATTTGGCTTCCTTCCCTTTGGCAATAAAAGCTGGCAAGGAAACCAGAGCAAAGTAGTGTGCTGTGGAACCAAAACTTTCCTTGGCCAATTTATGAGATAAAATATTTACCAGTCTGTATGCTGGAGTTAAGTTATGGAGTTAATATTGGGGATGGCAGAAAGCAGATGCCTCCCTACTCTAGATAAGAGTGAAGGGAGGGTGATGAGAGATAAGAACAAGTTCACACAGCCTCCTTCATGCTGTGAACAAGAGACCTGTTTTGAGTGTTTATCTGGCTAAAATTTATGTCCTTGAGGAATTTAAGCATTTTTTTTCTTGGGAATAACCAAACGTTCAAGTGAGAAAGTTCTTTATGCAGGAGGTGTCATGATTTTATCCAAGGATCTGACCCACATGCAGAAAACCAAACAGAGAGACCAGGGAAAGGTTTAACAGGTTTATTATGAACTGGTAGAGAAGGGTCCAGCGCTGCTCTGAACACTGGTGAACTGGGACTGAAAAGTGAAGGGGAAGATCCTGCGGTTAGTTCAGGCTCAGATAGAAATTTTTGTTTTGATTGTAAAGGGAATTAAGGCAACAGGACTCACGTTTCCAGAAAAGGTGTCTTTCTTTGAATCCAGTCGGTGTGGGTTGTTCCAGTAATAGACTTGCTTGTTGGAGGGCGGACAGGGTTTACCCAGGTTGAGGTGTTTCCTTGAGGAACAGAGGAGCTGACTGCCACTTTTCCTATGGTACTTGAACGGTTTCTTGTGTAGATAAATCCCCTGCTCAGTGTGAAGCCCAAACAATCCTTGGGGGAAAGTTTATCCAAACCACCTGTTTGAATCCTCAGCTCAGCTTGATGCTCAGACAATCCTTCCAGGGGGAGAAGGTCAAAAAAAAATCCAGTTTACAGGATGACTTCCTGCCGAGAGGCAAAGACAAAAAAACAACAAGGTTAAGACTCCGGTGACAAAAAACTCAGTTTGACTCAGCAAAACTCAGCTTGGCTAGAGTACCCAAAACTGGCTAACACTCTGGCAGCGAGGTAGTGGCAGTCAGCAGCTTAAGACTCCTCCGCTAATGAGGCAACCATCCGCAGGTGTGTGAGGAGGGCCAATGAGAACTAGGCGCCACCTGGTGGTGGAGGGAAAACAAACAATAACACAACCCACACAAACTGGATTTCTAACAGGGGGTGGGTTCCCCTGGGGGGAGTGTGTGTTGGGATTTTTGTAAGGTATAAATGTATGTACTGAAATGCCTTAGTCAGAACTTTATCTCTTCGTCTGAGGACCTTAAATGAATTTGAACCTTTTTTCTTGCAAGAAATGTCTCAGCTTCCTAACTTCACAGTGCTTTATTGTTTTGGCTCGTCTGGCCCTGTGAATCCATCTTACCAGAGCTGCTCCATGTTAATCGGAAATAAACAGAGTTGTTTTAGCTTGTTTACTCACCGGCATGGTGTGCTGCGGCCTTTTTACGTTGCGTTCAGTGGTATCATGTAAATTAGCAAGTCAACCCAGCTCTGCTGTTCCCATAGCACCGATTTTAACTCGGGTCACTTGTTGAGTATCGCCCGCTAATTTCAGTGGGAAAGAGACTTAAGACTAAAGGGAGTCCTGATCACTACTACCGTAGGTCAAATGTAAATTTTTTGTTATTTCTCAACATGCGTAAAAATTATTCCCGCTATCACCTCAACCCCAACGCCTTTACAGGGGAACAGAAGACCTCACCTATTCAGCCAGGCCAACAATTCCCTTTAACGACCCCCCTTTCAGAGACATAGACAGGTATGGGACATTGCAGGCTAACAAAGAAGCCAAATGACCCCCATTCATAAGGGGTGGAGCCGTTTATCCGTTTCAATCTGCATGTTTTCTAAACTAAAACAGGGCTTTATTGGGCTGCTGGATAAAACCTGGAACTCAACCCTATTTCTGACATTTAGAATTGAAAACGCTTCCTGGATGGAAGAGAAACGTCTTCAAACTTGGAAACAAAGTCCAGTGGATTGTTTTTTAAGTTTATTGGAATGACTATAACCTGAATGACTTAGAATCTTCACCAGCGATACAATTAATCTGTTTCTGTTGAAATCAAGCTCGCTAGGTATTAATTCAATTATATTGCTTCTTTGAATGTGCTTTAACTGTCAGTTTGTTGTGGATTGAGTTAACGGTTGGTTCAACTAATCACTGATTTTTTTTTATATCAATATATGAAAAAAAGTGCATTGACTTACAGGTCGTTTTTTGCTTCACTCCATCCTTCTCTTGTCTTTTTTGACAGACTCTGCAGGACAATGATTCAGTCAAGAAGATTCTAGGTCTAGTTCTGGCATTTGGTAATTTCATGAACGGTGGAAATCGAACAAGAGGTCAAGCTGACGGCTTCACTCTTGACATCTTGCCAAAACTCAAGGATGTAAAGAGCAATGTGAGTAAAGATTTATTTTAAGTTGTTAACTTTGTAATTTCTAATTTAAAATCCCATATATGCCAGTCTATTTTTATTTTTGTGTATTTTGTGCAAAAAGGCCATAAACATCTTGGGTTTTCTTCCCAGTTAATCAACCGCTCCTAATTTTAAAGGGGAAAAAAATTTTTTTTTTTGTTCTTGGCACATTTAAATTCTTTTTAACTGAATATCAAAGGAAGAAAACTTGAAGGATTAAATTATGTTGACACAAAGCAGACGATCTAGCAAAGAGCCAGATAATCATAAATGCTGACTCATTTTGAGGAAAATAAAAGTCTGTGCTAAAATGAAACTCCTCTGAAACCTCAAAAAGGATCCCATTAGTTTCATATTCATGGCTGTAGCTGCATATAAAAGGGCAGAAGATGACATATTTGAGTGTTCTTTTTTGTCTTGTTTTCTTCTTTAATTTTCAGATCAGATATATTGGTACCGCATATTAAGAAATTAATTATGTTACTTTATTGTTAGAAAGAAAAAAAAACAAATTTTGTAAATAAAAACAGCAAAAAAATGCTTTTCAGGAGTGGAATTTTGAAAAATGATAAGATCATTTCAAATTCAAAAATGGAATTCTGAGTTTCTGAGTTGGAGCCCCACTCCCACAGACTGCCCTCTGGGTCCCTGAGCAAGACCCTTAAACCCACTCTGCTCCCTGGGTGCCGCACAATGGCAGCCCACTGCTCCCTAAGGGTGATACGTTAAATGCTGAGAGTGAATTTCATTGCTCTGTTCTTGTGACAGTGAAATGACAATAACAGCTGGAAAAAGGAAAAGAAAAAAGTATTAAACGTCAGTTCAGATTCAGCAACATGACCAGTTCTGATTCAGCCTGCATTTGAAAAATGAATGCAGCCCCAAATACATAATGTTTATCTCCTTTTAATGTTTTCTTCACTCTTCTCTTCTATTATTCAGTATTTTTCTTGTTTTTTCATGCATAGGATGGTGCAAAAAGCCTTCTGTCATACATTGTAGCGTACTACCTCAGACACTTCGATGAGGTAAACTTCCTTTCTGTCTCTGTTCTCCCTGTTCATCTCAATGTCTCTATAAATGACTGTTTTCAGTTGAACATGAAAATGTTTCACATAAATCATGTTTAGTGCTGAACTTATTCAACTCTGATGTTTTCATTAAAGCTAATTTTAAAGAGAGAAATTTGTTTGGAAAAGAAAAAAAAAGGTCCTGATGAAGTTATCTTCAGAGTATTCATGCTCTGAATTCAACAGGTTCTTCCAGAAAAGGAAATACCTTTACTTATTATTAGCATAGAGATCCTGCTCATTCAAGCCAACACAGTACCAAGTTTTAAGGTTTTATTGACAAGGGTGAGAATGTTGCAGACAAGGGGCAGACATGTCCTGGAGATGAGTCCGACGGTTCATGTAAAGGCAGAACTAAACCAGAGTAGCCCACTGATTGTGGTGGGGGAAACAATTGCCTTGAATCTGCAGAAAAGATCTACAGCAGGTAGAACCTGCAGTGCTTTTCAGATGTGGCCTGCAGCTGCCCAAAAGGTTGTAGCCACAAGCTGCTGTATTTCCAATAAGTCTGGATGGCAGGAGCAGGTAGAGTGAGGCTGGGCTGCACTGTGCTATATTTTCAATAGTTGTACTCATCACAGCTCAAACTGTATGATTAAACCGCAGGGTTTAAAAGTTCACTGCACAAGATCTATGTTCTTACACTGTACGGCCCGACGCTCTGATGTGATCTACCTCAGGCATCCCCAAAGTCGGTCCTGGAGGGCCGGCAGGTTTTAGAGGTTTCCTGCTCCAGCACAACTGATTTAATTGAAAGCTGATTGACAGGCTAAAATAATAAAAATAAAAATGTACCAATTAATCGAATAGAATTGTATCGTATCGTGGTGTATTCTTGAGTACCAAAATTAATCGAATCGTTGGGTCAGGAAATTGATACTGAATCGATTCGCCATGATGGGTGTGATTTACTCCCCTAGTCCTCACCTGGGTCAGAGCAAACTGAACTTCTGAGGGAATTTCCTGAACCATCCTGACCCTCCAAACCCTGGGGTCCCACTCCCGACCCCAAGCATCTGGGAAGGATTCCCCTTGCTGCCTGAGGGACTGGAACTCTGAATTGGAGGCCTTCATGGAAATTCCATCCTCCTCCAGATCCTTCCCCATTTCCCAGGATGCTGCCTAGGGAACCGAAGTGGGGACCGACACCTTGAGTAAAGCTTTGAACTGCTCCACCTCAGCCCTCGGAGAGTCCATTCCTGCTGAGATGGGCAGTCCAGCTGAGGCCTTTTCCTCCGTGGACTATGGTGCTCTTCAGCTGGTGCATCCCCTCGCCTCCCAGAACACGGTGCACCTGAGGGTGTCAGGTCAGCTGTGGAAGCAGATTCTCCAGCTGGTAAAGCCTGTCCTCCCTGACAGACAATTGCATGATGCTGCAGTTTATGCATGGGTCAGTCAGAGCTTCTCTGAGATGACCCACCCCCGCATTTGGGGCAAAGTTCATGTCCATCCTCCACCTGGAGGGAGATTTCGCAGGATGTGCACGCAAGCATCCCACAGAGACATGGGAAATGAGGGGTGGCAGCATGCACATAAGTGTGGACTTCAATAAAACTGAAGAACGAGATCAAAGGCCTAAGTTAACATAATGTGAGCACACGCCCACATGTGCAGCGACTGACCAATCAGAGTGAGACCTCAACGAGGGCTGAAGAACGCTGTAATAACGCTATACACCTGTAGTCGGTGGCTGTACACCTTTCCCAACCAGGTTTCACTGGGGGACGGGAGCGTTAGCAGCTAACAAACAATGAAAGCCAGAGGCGGATGCTAACCGTCTGCTCTACTACAACAAACCGGCACAACAATCGGTCACGTCAACTACAGCCTTGGAGGGCTACAAATAACACTCCTACTAACAGATCACAGGCAGGATGACGCTGTAAACACCAAACGTGTGCTAACCTCTCAGACCTGCAAATGCCAATAAGTTCAGAATCACAGATTATAGGCACAACCAGCCTGCCAAGGATGCCAAATTAACAGCGAGAAGATCAAAGAGACCGAAGGTAGCCGTCAACGTGTCATGTCGACTTTGTTAACATTTCATCTCGACCTGCGCGAGGAGAGATATTCACTTTGTTTACTGCCACTGGCAGTCAGGAAGGGATGAAACAGAACACAAGTTTTATGGAATTAATTTAGCAACCAAAGAATACGTGTTGTTATTAAAAACTTCAAAAAATCCAATCCAGAAATGAAAGATTGGAAAATTTCTTAATCAAAAGGATGTTTAGTGCTGTTTTCTTAGATAATAATTTTCTAATTTTTTTCCATTTTATTATTATATTTTTGTCAAATTTCTCTTTTTCAGATTGATTTGTAGGAATTGCATTATTTTTTCAGATTGCATTTTAAAGCTCCCATTCTCTCTACTCTAAGCCAATCTAAACACCCGCTCTTGACCAATAAAATTGTTAAAAAAAAAAAATCCCCCCCCATACTCAAAGGCATAAAAGACTTATTAGAATTTAACTAAACGTAACTAAATAATAAAACTGTAAAAACTCAATATTGTGAAACTCAACAGATTCAGTTTCCATCAACCAAAGATAAAGCCTCCAAGCATCCATGTCAAAAAATCTATCCAAGCTGTGGTATTAAATCAGAACTTCCTACTGTGATGATCTCCTGATACAATAAGAAACAAGACAACAACTTAACTTTGTTTAAATAGTAAATGGTAAAAAGCATGAACTTATATAGCGCCTTTATTCAAGTCAGGGGACTTGAGCAAAGCGCTTTACACTACATTCATTCACCCGTTCACGCACACACTGATTGTTTAATACAAACATTCCTGTTTAAATTTTGGTCTCACCCTGATGCAACTAAAGTACCACTTGCTGAAAACAGGACTCAGGATCCCCAGTTTTTCCTTCCTTCCTTCCTTCCTTCCTTCCTTCCTTCCTTCCTTCCTTCCTTCCTTCCTTCCTTCCTTCCTTCCCTTCTGTGTGAATGTCCCCATGAAACTGTCTAATTATGATGATTAAACAATCAGTGTTTGACATCTGACCTTCCAGGCTTTTTAACATGTATGTGTCTATCGACAGGATGCTGGGAAGGAAACATCCGTGTTTCCTCTTCCTGAGCCCCATGACCTGTTTCAGGCTTCACAGATGAAGTTTGAAGATTTTCAGAAGGACTTGATGAGGCTCCGGAAGGACCTTAGAGGTAACGGATACTTTAGCAGGTGATGGATAAAAATTAAGGTATTACAAGGTTCGTACATGTGGATTAGAGGGTAAAGTACCCAAAAACATAACCAAAGTCAGTGTAGTCATCCAAAAAATAAGCAAGAGTAAAAATATTTACTAGTAAAATGTCTACTCTAGTAATAAGTAACTGGTCTATAGTGATATCTAATAATCAAAGTGTTTTGTGTTGATTTTTCATATTCAAACAACAGACATCCTATTTAAAATGTACAGAAAAAATTTGTTTTAAAATTTACATCACAAAAGAAAAGAAAACACACAAACTAGCAACAAGACAGATCCTACTACTACCATCTGCTGAAGCAGAGGGAAATTCAGATTCAAAATAGGAATTAAAAGGCTGCCAGACCTAGAAATATCTCTAAATATTGCCCTGTAAAGTAAACCTAAGATGTTCCAATTTAAGATGTGCCATCACCTACTCTAACCATCATTTGTTGGTTAGCGGTGCTGCCTTTATCCAATTAAATAAGATCAGTCTCCTGGCCAAGTATAAAGACAGTGCCATTGCTTTCCAGAGCCAGAGCTTCGTTAATTGTGTTTGTTTAGGTGCCACACCAAAAATAGCCATCAGAGGAACAGGTTCAATGTTTTTCTTATAAATGGATGAAAAGGTTTTGAATTCTTTGAGCCCGGGGCAAGACCACAACATATGAGATGTGTTTGCTGGCACCTGTTTACATCTTGGGCAATTCTGATCAGCTCCCTGATAAATGTTTGCCAGTTTGTACTGGTGAAATGGAGTCTGAGTACCACCTTAAACTGTGTCTAATAGAGATGAAGCATGTATTAGTTCTATTGCTCACCTCCATTCATAATCCGATATATCCAGATCTAATTCTTCCTCCTATTTCCTTTTCATGTAGTCTAGGGATGGGGAAGCCACCCTCTAGTTATACCATTTTATGGCATTTTTAAAAATGTATACCCCAGTAGTTAACTCATGTATTATTTGTTATTTTTGTGTTTTAAACTTTGTTTTTGGTCATTTTGTTAGCAAAAGAGAGACATTTGATAGAAAGCATGAGCAAAGGGGGTTAAATAATAGCCTACTGCAGCTAAGCTCGTTAGCACTTCAGAGTGAAATTCTGGAAATAATGACGAAAAGTCCAAAGTCCAGGATGAATGAATGCAAAAAAAAGTTTTATTCTAAGAGGGAAAATTATGAAACAACTCTGGGAATAAACTATGAATGTTGGTTTTGGTTGAAGAGGAGCTAAAGATGCATTTAGATGCTAAGTTGGTGGATGTTTTAAGGGCTCATTTTGATTGACGCACGACACGTGCAGTCCGCGTGGAAAATGAGCTGCCCGCCTCAACATCTGCAGCAACTCAGTTCAATTCAGAGGCCTCCTGTCTGCAGCACTGTCTGCGGTCACCTACAATGAGGTGCAACAGAGTGTCTACGGAGGGGGTGGGAGCACATTATCCTTTACTGAGACACACATGCAGATGACCTGGTTTGAACCAGCCTTAACCGTTCATGATGTCACCAGTGTGACAGAAATCAGGGAAATAAACAATGGATCTCTATAATCTGTCTGAATCCCTCTAACCAGAGCGGCTCCATGTTTATCGAATGTAAACAGAGTCGTTTCTGCTTGTTAGATCAGTATCACGTAAATTAGCAGTTCGACCCGGCTCTGATGCTCCCACAGCATGCCGATCAGGGCCGAGTTGATTTTAACGCGGGTCGCTTGATGATTTGTTTGATCTGGGTAGACATGCGCCAATGAGCTGTTCCCACTGCCACTGAAAGCCCATTGTTCAGTTTAAACTGATCTTTCAGCCAGTTAGCACAAGCTGCATGCTGACAGCACCACTCTCCACGAGGAAGTAGAAAACACAGCCATTTACAATTTACTAAAGCCTCTTTGTGTCGTTAAAGAGCGACGGTCAGTTCTTTCTGGTAGTTTTTCCACAATCTTTTGCTAGTTGTGGCTTTAAATCGCATGAAAAATCACACAATATCTGTAGATGTATTTTGCAATGGTTTCCTCATGGATCTATCTGCGTAGTAACAAATTCTCCTAGGTGTGCAGTGTAGAAATTGTGTCCACAGGGTTGCCTATACGGAAGCCCAAATTTACGGAATTATGTAAACCGAGCTTAAGTATACGTCTTTATTAATACTGATAGTATTAAGGCTTTTTGCCTGTGGGTTACCCTCAGCCTGGTAAACCAGAATAAATGGGAGATGAAAGGTGTAATCTAGTCTGGCCCCGATGAATGAGACATCGGAAGATTGTTGATGAGAACAACCCGTTGTTTTTCAAACCATGTCTGGGCCTATTGGCCAACGCTCTGACCAATGAGCGCAACTGACTGTGACATAGGAGGCGCGACAGAAAGCTGGTGGGGGAGTGTAAAAAAACAGCCTGTCAGTAAAACGGCGAATATGTCCTTCTTAAAAATGAAAACTGATTCCAAAGCTGAGTCAAAAATCTCCATCAGAGCCAGCGGCCCTTCACACATGGCTACGCTGAGAGAGGGCCGCTGCAGACGGGCTGCGGTTAGCTCTGGCTGCCGTTAGCCTCGGAGCTCCGCTGGTTGCCGCAGTCCTCTCAACTTCGGAAATAGTTTTTTTAATCAAGCATTAAATCGGTAAATGAACCATATAGTGACGCTTTAAAGTATAATTTTCTCGCCTCAAATGATCTTAAAACATACTTTTATTGAACAACAGCAACAGAAAAGAGAATCTTTAACTTTCAATGGAGCACCCCATTGAAAGCTGCTGCTGCCGCAGTGCATCATCCTACTGTTCTGTTTTCTCCAGCGTCGTGCAGCTTTGTCGTCACGCCTTCAAAGCCCCGCCCCCTTTGCATCCAGACATTCTAATCACATCTCTGCGTTGTGATTGGCCCGCCAGTTCTAGGGCCTGGGACATTGATCGAGGCTAGACCACTCGCAGGGAAAAATGATTGTGGCTGCTGGTAGGTGGGGCTAGTTTTCTAGGCTAGTTTACCCTGTTTATAGGCACTATTGTTTTAAACATTGGTGATTGCTACCTTTATGTATTTATTTGGCCAGGATTTAGGATGTAATGCATATTAAAGGTATATTGGAGAATTTTCACAAATTTTTTAATAGACCCGCCCTCTCTACTTAAAAAAAAAAAATGCAGATGCACAACCCTGTACACGCTCCTGTCATGATTATATTCAAAGGTCTGACCCAAAATGCAAAGGCAAAGCAGAGAGACCAGGGAAAAGTTTAAACAGGTTTATTAGGAATAATGTGATGAATCCAGTGCTGCTCTGAACACTGTCAAACCGGAACTGGAAGGTGAGGGGAAGACACTGCGGTTAGTTCAGGCTCAGTGGGAAATCTTAATCTTTGGTTTTGAATTGCAGGAAAAGGTTGCAGACTCACTTCTCCAGGAAAAGGTGTCCTTTATGGAATCCAGTCTGAGAGGGAAGGTTCCAGTGATTGTCTTGTTTGGTGTTGGGCAGACTGGGTTTACTCAGACTGCGGTTGTTCCTAGATGAACGGAGAAGCTGACTGCCACTCTGATTTCCTGCGGTACTTAAATGGGCGGCGGTGCAGATGAAACCTTTGCTCGGTGTGAAACTCAAACGACCTCTTGGGGAAAGTGGATCCAAACTTCCAGTTTGGAACCCCAGCTCAGTTAGAAGCTCAGTTGAACCTTCCAGAGAGAGAAGGTCCGAACAAATCCAGTTTGCAGGATGAATTCCTGCCGAGAGGCAAAGACAAGAAGAAAGTTAAGACTCAGCTTGACAAAAACTCAGTTTGACTCAACAAAAACTCAGCTTGGCTAGAGAATCCAAAACTGGCAAACAAAAACTCAGGTTAGACTCAGCTAAACTAAGCATAGCTAGAGTACCCTGTATTGGCAAACACTCTGGCGTCGAGGTAATGGCCGTCAGCAGCTTAAGAACACTCCACAGCCAATGAGGCAATGAGCTGCAGGTGTGCAGGGAGGCCCAATGAGGACAGGGTAACACCTGGTGGAGGAGGAAAGGAAACACAAAAACAGACCACACCAACTGGATTCCTGACAGCTCCCAAGAGGGAACGCCTGTTAAACGCACGTGAAAGTGTTTCTCTGCAGCATTGTTCCTCATGCACGCTCTGTTTAAAAGTTGCTATTTGCATCGCTCATACAAGCTTACTTTCCAAAAGAAGATTTTTTATTTTTCCTCTATGTCAGACTCACCACAGGTAAGTAAAAAAAGGGGGACGGTCTTACGTAAACATATCTCCAGAATGATTGACAACTAGGAGGACCACTTATTTCAATGATCCACCCAGAGAAATTACATTCTCCACTATACCTTTAATCTGCAAATTTCTGGGTGTAAAGTTATTAATCTCACTGGTGAAAAATCTTATTATAAATATATTCAAGCAAGCATTGAATGGCCAGTTGTGTGTCTGTATTTATAAAGTTCAGGGTTTGCTTTCTCCTTTTGTCAACAACACTGCTCTCCATTAAGCTTAGCCTTTATGAAGGGAGGTATTAAACTAAAGGTAGTTGGTAAAATAAAACCATATATGTGACAAATTTCCACTAGGGCACAATAAAGTATACTCTATTCTATTCAATTCCATTCTATTCTATCATGCAGATCTAATTGCATCTAGGACAGAGGCAGTTTGTATAACCCTCCTGTTTTCCCTTTGTCACTTTAACCAGCGTGCACATCTGAAGTGGAAAAGGTGTGCAAGGTGTCAGATGAGGAGCACTTGCAGCCTTTCAAAGAGAAGATGGAGGAGTTTCTTTCTCAAGGTAATCGAGCAAAGCTGTAAATCTATCATGGCTTTAGGATCTGACTCTACCAGGAGGAGAACAGCTGGTTGCTTTACTGCTTTGGCTTTCTGTGATTCTGTAAGCAAATATAACAGAGGAAGGGGCAGAGAAGGACAAAGGAAGGGAGGATTGTCTCTGTTTAAGCCTTTCCTGGTCACTTAAATGCAAATATATGATGAAATAATTCATTTCGCACCACAGACTGTTAATATGTTATGAAGTATTGTTGTTTTCTTCCCAACCTGAAGCCTCACCATGTCTGGGTGTCACCTTTACCATCACTCCACTTCTGAAGGCTGAACAAAGTCTGAGGCCTCTTATGACCAAAAAACACATTTTTACTTCCTGATAGGGCCTAGGGTTGGCAAATCCCTGGAAAAACAAAGGTTCCCCTCATGTGTGTGCCAGCTGACCTATTGCCGTCACCCGTCCTGGCGTGGTAATTTTTTTTAGCCCCCCTTTGTGTGTGAAATGATTTTGACTCTGAAAACTCCTCTAAAAATTCAGAGTAAGGACCTGGTGGACGATACAAAATTAAAAAAAGAAGAGGTTTTCTTGCTTTGCAATTTGGATCAGGGAAAAAAAGGGTTAAATGTTCAAAAGAGTTGTAAGTATTAACTGCCTTGGGAGTAATCAGTAAGTCAGACTGAAAGATTGTTGCTACTCCTCTGCCTCGCCCAGAACTTCTGGGTATGTGAAAATTTAAATAACTAGAAGGAGTTGCCTCATTTATGCTCACATAATCCTCTTGCTGCAGCCAGGTTTCTGTAAGGCAACATAAATCAATGTGATTATCACAAATCAAGTCATTAACTAGCAGACTAGCAGAAAGAGAACTTATGTTAAATAAAACCAGATTT